ATAAAGCCTATTGTTTTGATTTTAGTTCAACTGAATTAAACATTCAATTGACTATGCAGGATTATGGATAACACAATCCTATGTATATTTACTCAGCAATGAATCCCACAGAGTTCAACGGAGCTTACTCCCAGTTAACCATGTAAAGGATTTTAGCATAAAAACATTAACCAGTGAAGGACACAAAACCAATTAAGGGGAACAAGCTTTGCACACAGATAACTATCATAACAATTCTGTTTCATGCCACAACGTTATCTTCTCTTTTGTAGCAATATAAGCCTTAAGATAAACACAACAGAAAATTATATATTTAGCCATACCACTATCTGTGTGTTTACACTGCTTACTCTAGTAGAAAAGAAACCCTGATTATTATAAAATTTGGGGTTTACATTTTATCCTTGTTTGGTTTATCATGTAGGATCCAGATTTGCCCAGAACAGAATTCTCCCAAAGGAAGATGGAAAATTTCATTTATTTCCCGTTCTCCTTGCAACGCCCCCGCCCTGCCTGGTTCCTCAAAATCACATCTTCCCTGCTTCCTCCATGTAACAGTGTATATGGATTGTTTTTATGTATACCTGATACAAATATTTTCTCTGTAAATATATTATAACATTTTTTCTTTAAATGAAAACAAAGAAAAACAAAGTTTTCTAGCTTCACTGGAGGAGTTTACTAAAATAATATTGCACCAACCTTACTGGTGTCCTGGAGAATCAATTAACAAATTAGTCAGAGAAGGGAGTCATCCACAGCCCTGCCCCCAGTTCTGTTGCACTGCGGACAGGAAACAATATCCATTTGCCTGAAAGACTGAACACTAAACAGGATCAAGCCATAAGAAATTATTTGCTTCACGCTTTTAGTATTTTTTTTCTATCAACTTAAAGTAATAACATTTTATTAAACTAATTAATTGTCCGATGCAAGTAACAATACCATAAAAGCATTTATGGCAACACAACTGCATCTGTACCACTTAATCTCTAATCACTATTATTATGCTCCTTTCTCTACTTAGCATATTATACCTATTTCAAAATGTAACCAATAAAATTATATAGTGTACACATTCAAAATTTTGAAAACATATCTGTTTGAACAAAAACATAATGAAAGTTGTGCTCTGCACCCACTTATGCTTTTATCAGATAAAATCCGCTCCCAAGAGTACAAAAATGTTCACGATCTTTCTTGATAGCTGCCTGTGCAAGAGAACAATGGAAATACAAACTCCCCTTTTTCCTGAGAAATTAAATCATTATTTTACTCTGCACATTTTATGAAGTCCTACCAAATATCAATGAAACTATTCTAATATAAAACACCATTTATTTGGATTTCTCCAAAAGGGACTAGATTTTTTTAAAATAATTATTTTAAACTATATATAAATTTAAACTAGGGCTCATCGCATTGCAATTTAATCTGGTGAGCCACTAGGATTTTATTTTAAAAGTACACATTTTAATCAATCTTAAAAGTGAAATGGAAAATCAAAAGAAGTATAGCAAAACATTTCTGTTTAATTTACTGAACACTAAAACACGCTTTCATCTATTAATTGGTGCTTTTTGCATAATCATGACGCCTTGATTTATTACAGAGAAAATGTTCCATTGTATAGGTCAATACAATGGGGGGTGTGGGGAGGGAAGGTCATATTCTCAAAGAAAGATTCAGCAAGTGAATCCAAACTAAATGCTGGCATAGTACTGAACAGCTTAACTTAAACTACTACTTTAAGTTGTTTGTGCTATCATCACATAAAACTTTAAAATATAAAGATCCGGATAATGTAAACAATAGTTTTCATATTTTCCATCAGCTTAGAAACTCTGTGGCAATTTATCTCAAAGGATTCGATTAAGAGCACCATCCTATGCATATTTACTCAGAATTAGGCCCCAATGAATTCAATGGGGCTTACTTCCAAATAAGTATGCCAAAGACTACAGCCTAAGTAATTCATATAAATAAACTGTGAGAACTTATCAGACTCAAAGATGTGCCACTTCTTTAGCACCAGGGCCATACTGGAAACTTGTAAGTCTTCCAGCTTATCTGCCTTTAAAAATGAAAAAAGAAAGAAAGAAAAGCAGTACAAGCTTCTGTCCCGTCCATTTTTGAATATATAGACTGCAGGCATAATTTAAGTTCCTAAACACAGTGTGGAAGCCAAGGCACATCTGGTGAACAAGCTGTGTTAATTCTGTGCTGTATGGATCTTGGAATTAACAACTCCAAATGTGAACAAACTCAGATTAGGATGTCAAATGATTAAGTCACTTAAGCCACCTCAAGGGACAAAATAATTATGGTTGCAATTATATGATCTTTGCTAGTCAGTTAAGCTTCATTGAACTCAGCAGCTTGTGCTTTTAAGTAAGCATGCATTAACAAACATGCAAAAGATCACACTGCTCATCTGTTGCTAAATTACAAGCCTTCTAGTTTCTATCACTAGATCTGCAAGGCTACTTTTACAACAAGAGCTAGAATCTTAACTTTTCCGTAAATGACAACTTGATTGCAAGAATGCTGACAAGAATCTAGAAAGCCACACAAAAAATACCTCTTGGACCATTTATCTCATTCCTGATGCAAGTGCTACCAATTACACTACAGCAACACAGAAAAATATACTCTTTTCAAGACAGTTTTCCACCAATTTCCATAGGTAAGCCTGCATTAGGTTTCTCAAAACACTGATAATAGATGCAACTTTGTAAACAAGCCATATATATATATATATATATATATATATATATATATATGCTTTCGTAGATTTTCACGGGTACAGGAATGCAGGTTTTGGTGTCCTCGGGTGTCTTCCCGTGTAAAAGTTGGGGTGTCTAGGCGACGTTTCGACGAGGTCTCACTCGTCATCTTCAGGCTGGTGCTTTCGGCTTCTTGTTACTGGAACAGAGCAGGATCTCAGTGTTTGAGTTCCTATAAATACTGTTGAGGGGGTGTGGTGTATAGCCTCCAATGTTCTGGGCAGAGAGGAAGTTCCCAGGTTAGTGTGCCTTTTCTTCTTTTGTTCCTTAATTACTTGAGGGATATCTTGAGTGATTTCTTGAGTGATATCCTGAGTACCACTTAGGTGGGTCATTAGGTGTGGATTAGTTGCTAAAGCCTTCGTGTCTTGACCTCTTGAACTTTGTGAAGAGTTTTTCTGAGAAGATGGCTGTACTGCAATTAGTTGTGCTCTGGCTTGGCTTCGTGTATAGGGGCGAGCTGTGGTTTTGTGTCCTGTGCCAGCCAGATCTGTGTAGGGATTGCAGGGGGGTGCAGCATCCGGAGGTGCCACCATGGTTTGGCTACTGGATGGTGTCTGTAATTTATCTGTGGAGAGGGTCTGGGTTTGGGTCTGGTGTGGTTGATTGGTGATGGCGTTCTGTGTGCCTCTGGATCTGGTGTCGGTTTTTGTGGGGAGGGCTAATTTCCAGATGTCTGGCAGGCGGGATGTGTCGTCACGCTTGTTCATGTTGTGAGGGTGTTTCTCTATCTCGATGGCTTCCATGATTATTCTCTTGTGGTGATGTTCCATGTTAGAGAGCAATTTGGAATCTGCAAAATTAATTTCGTGTCCTGTTTCTTTCATGTGTTGGAAAAGAGAGGAAGTTTTTTCTTCTTTTTTGACGGCATTCTTGTGTTCTGCGATACGTGCATTTATTCGTCTGTTAGTTTGTCCAATGTACGTGGCTGGGCAGACTTTGCAGGGTATTTCATAGACCCCTTGGTTTTCCAACTGGATTTTATCCTTGGGGTTTCTGAGGATATTGGCTATTTTTTGGTTGGTGCAAAAGGCTGTTTTGATATTGTGTTTATGGAGGATTTTGCTAATTTTATCTGTAGTGCCCTTGATATAAGGAAGGAGGGCCATGCCATTGTTTTCTTCTGTGTCTTGGTTTTTGGGGGTGTTTCTTTTTGCATTAGCTTCGTAACCCTGTTTTGCTGGTATCCATTGGCGATTAACACATTGGAGAGATTCTGTAACTCAGTTGTCAAGTGGTCTTTGTCAGCCAGGCGTTTGGTTCTGGAGATGAGAGTCTTGGCTACGGAGTTTATTTGTGCAGGGTGGTGGTGTGATTGTGCATGTAAGTAGCGGTTGGTGTGTGTTTTTTTCCGGTAGATAGTGTGTCCTAGGGAGCCATTAGGTTTTTTGTAGATTAGGACGTCAAGGAAGGGAAGTTGGTTGTTGGCTTCTATTTCCATAGGACACAAAATTAATTTTGCAGATTCCAAATTGCTCTCTAACATGGAACATCACCACAAGAGAATAATCATGGAAGCCATCGAGATAGAGAAACACCCTCACAACATGAACAAGCGTGACGACACATCCCGCCTGCCAGACATCTGGAAATTAGCCCTCCCCACAAAAACCGACACCAGATCCAGAGGCACACAGAACGCCATCACCAATCAACCACACCAGACCCAAACCCAGACCCTCTCCACAGATAAATTACAGACACCATCCAGTAGCCAAACCATGGTGGCACCTCCGGATGCTGCACCCCCCTGCAATCCCTACACAGATCTGGCTGGCACAGGACACAAAACCACAGCTCGCCCCTATACACGAAGCCAAGCCAGAGCACAACTAATTGCAGTACAGCCATCTTCTCAGAAAAACTCTTCACAAAGTTCAAGAGGTCAAGACACGAAGGCTTTAGCAACTAATCCACACCTAATGACCCACCTAAGTGGTACTCAGGATATCACTCAAGAAATCACTCAAGATATCCCTCAAGTAATTAAGGAACAAAAGAAGAAAAGGCACACTAACCTGGGAACTTCCTCTCTGCCCAGAACATTGGAGGCTATACACCACACCCCCTCAACAGTATTTATAGGAACTCAAACACTGAGATCCTGCTCTGTTCCAGTAACAAGAAGCCGAAAGCACCAGCCTGAAGATGACGAGTGAGACCTCGTCGAAACGTCGCCTAGACACCCCAACTTTTACACGGGAAGACACCCGAGGACACCAAAACCTGCATATATATATATATATATATATAAAAATTTTTGCATAGGATTTGGATCTAGTTTATTTTACAATGCAGCAAGGTGTTTTTACAAATGACCAGATGTTCTCTGATCATGCAAATAAACTGCCCCAAAGAATTCACAATGGGACTACTCAATAACTTTTTGCAAGACTGGAGCACAGGTGCTGTAGAAGTGCTCTGCATATGTTGAGAAATTATGCTTCACAATTAAAAATGTTACCATTTTAAATGCATCAGTAAGTCACATTTATGATTCCAAATATATTACAGCTACGGTAGGAAATCTTACCGTATTACAAACACAGTGTACAAATGTGAAGCACAGTGTTTGATAGAATATCCCTTTAGTTTTCCCAGTGCATATATGGTTTAAAGTCAAAACATGCCCCAACATGAGGAGGCAAAATCTGAAGAGTATTGCGTATAGGTATGGAAATCATGGCAAGAAAACAAAAGCTTAATATTGCAAAGCAGAATGATGTAATAAGTTCATAATTCTCACTGAAGTTACTAGAGCATCTCCAATAGGCATTTTTCACTTTGTTCAGCTACTCACCAAATGCAATTATAGGTGTACCAAATCATGCGTAAGCATTACGTATCATTAAAACCTGTAATATTATGCTACAACTAGATAGCACACTGTCAGATATATCGCAGCATGCTTAATTTTTGGACCCACACATGATAGCAGGAATATAGAATTTGCAATTAAGAGAAAATCATTTTTATATTTAGCAACGAGGCATAAATATATAAGATAAACCTATTTGTTCAGAAAATCTTGACATGTTTTTAGCACTGAATGCTAAGAAAACAGTAAGTTCCTTTTATAAGTACTGTATTAGAAGCTATTAAAAAACCCCAAAAGTCGTTCAAAATAGAAAATAGGAAATGGCCAAAATCTACAGAAGAAGTAATCACAAAGTTCTGCATACTAGTTGCCAAGCCCTGAACAGCAAAAATGTTGCCTGTGTATTGTGCAAGGATTTGTGCATCCATTTCACATGCTGAAAATTATCTTTGGATGTGACTTGATTTTCCTTATGCAGGAAACCTGCATAAGGACAAAAGCTGCTGCATATGGGGAAGCCACTATTTTTGATCCTGGCCATTATGTTTCAAGACTCTTAAAATCATACTGTCATCTTTCTAATATACAGAAATTTCCAAAGAAAACCAGCCTTAATTAAGATGCCTGCATGAATCCTGGACAGTCACTGCTAGTAAATGGAGTTCTGAGAGCTTATGAAACTATATTTCCTTAACTAGCAATGAGAAAGCCCATTTTGCATGTCCAGTTACCTCAAAGGACTACAAGGGCCGGATTCAACTAACCCAGTGTGCTAGCAGAAGCCAGTTCTGGGACTCCCAGTAGCACAATTGGGCTTCCCCCCTTCTCCTCCCCCCATGTGCCCTGCCAGCTCCTCCCACAAATGTGGAGAGTTGGGAGAACCCCCTGAACAGCACATTGGGGGGGGGAGAGAGGGGAGATGGTTCTGTCTGGCAAGCAAAAATTATTGTGCTGGTGGAAAATGTTTTATTAGTATGATGTTGAACTCCACCCCAAGTTTGGTTCATTAATAGCTTCAACAACTTCAATGCTGGTTATAACCACAGCAGTATTTTAAAATGTCCTATTTCAGACTAGGACTGAAACAAAAGATTAGAAAATAAAATGTGTGCCTTTAAGTTATGGGCAGAATCCAACAAGTGATCTTGTGCTTACGGAAGGATTTTTGATCCCGCAGAGGCATTTGCTAACAGAAGAGATGAGATTCAATTCTTACTGAGTTCCCCATCTCAGTCTCCAGTGCCCACCCCAAGAATCTGCACCAGAGTTGGGGGACACTCCAGAATAGAGTTAATGAATGCCTCCCCTATTTTAGTGGACACCTCCACCGGATCAGAAGTCCTTCCATCAGTAAAAGGGTATCAGTTGGATTTTCCATACACATATAAACACTCTTTTTAAAGGAATGCATATGCCAGCAAATTCTTCATCAGAGCAAATCTCTGTTTTTCAGTCAGAGAATTGGAAGATGCTCTCTGGATTATTGCTGTCTGCAGGAATTGCTGGCTGCAGGGTCTTTGTAGGAGTAGTTTTGCCATGCGAATGAGAAGAAGAAGAATGAGAACTTTCACTGGAACTGCTTCGAGTCTCGGTACTTGTACTTGTTTTTTTCATCTTCCTTCTTTTTGCAAGAGGTGCCTTGTCAACATTCTGTAGGCAAAATCCTTCCCTCTTATATTTGTTAAAGGCCTATTTTAAAAGATAAATGCATTTGTGTATATTCAAACTGAAACCAGTTTTTATAGTTGCTTAAATATGAAAGTATTAAGAATATTTCCCCTAAAGAATTGCATTACGGACTTCAAAATATTTTTAGCAAGAAGACTTGATTAAATATCCAACAATTAATATACCATTTAATATTGTTGTAGGCTACAATCCTAGCTTCTAATGTAAATTTACCTATTGTTCCTGGCAGTTTCACAAATGGTAGTTATCCTAAAAGCAGAGAGGTAGGCTTCCATAAACTACAAGCAACAAGCCTAATTCATTCCACCATTTCTTCCGGAAATACTTATTCGTGTCAGGGGCTGTGCCAAGAGGTCCTAGGCAAACTACATTCTGATGGACTCACACCTTTACGTGTCAGACCTAGACCCAGTGCAAATGCAGCTTTAAAGGTTGGGGCAGAGTAAGCATCAGTGATGCTGGAACCTCAGCAGCTATCAAACACAATGTGGTGACACTAAGGCCTTCTGACACCCATTTGAGGGGCTTAGTCCATATCTTTCTCAAATAATAGTAAGGAATGGAAGAGAATTTGGTTTAGGTTTTAAAAATTAGTTTAAGAAGTACTTTTGAGGAAAAGAACTATAGAAGGTTGGATTTAGAAAGTGCTCTTTTCAGCGTACCTTTATCCTTCGTTAATGCAGATTCTGAATCTCAAAAGATGGGTGTCATAATGTTTGTATTATTATTATAATCTTTATAATACTTGTATATTCTATTCTCTTAGCATCTCAAGGCCTACCAGCTCCATCTCGGATGCTGACTGAGACCCTACCTGCCTGCAGACTGTCTCACCAGAGTAGTACATGCTCTGGTTATCTCCTGCTTGCATTACTGCAATGCACTCTGTCAGGGGTTCAGGGGCAGAGGCACAGGTGAGGGAGGAGACGGAGAGCGAGGGGGAAGAATCCCAGGACAGCGAGGAAGAGGATGACAATGACTTGAGGGATTCCATGAGTCTTTCAAGTGAATCGGAGGATTCCCAGAAGGGGGCGCCTGTGGTCAGGCCAAGGGGAGTCACAGGGGGGACTCGTCAGGAGCAGGGGACCAGCAGGGGAACCCAAAGTGGGAGCTGGGAGTCGAGACCGGCTTCTCCGCCAGAGCGCAGTGAAGGGGGTGGAGATTCCAGTGTGACAGGGGAAGCAGGTCCGAAAGCAGAGAGGGAGGGAAGATCGGAGCAAGACATCCTCCCGGAAAGGGAGGGGAGTAGTGCAGGGAGTAGTGTAACTGTCAAGAGGAAGGTTAGAGGTTGCGAACGCGCGCCAAGTTCAAATGTGGAGGCGCGCGGAAGAACAGGGAGCCCGGAGGAGGAGCCAGGTCCCAAAGCACGCAGGAGGGGGGAAGAGCTGTCTGGGGATTCCGCGTCAGGGGAATCCAGGAGGGGCGAAACCCCAGGGGGCAGGAAGACCCTGCGGAAAAGGAAAGAAAGGAAGAGGTGGAGCAGCACAAGCCTCTTAAACTGGTGCAGAGGAGGGACTGACTCAGAGGGGACTTCAGCGGTCTAAGCGTAACAGACGTGGGGCTGCGCGCCTCGGCTGTGGAGCGTACAATACACTGCAATAAACATCTTTGTATATAAACTGGACTTGGGGTTGGTCTCTTGTGAGCTGGGACCTGAGGCAGCCCTGACACACTCTATGTGGGGCTACCTATGAAGGTGACTTGGAAACTACAACTAATCCAAAATGTGGCAGCTAGACTGGTGACTGCCGAGACCATATAACACCAGTCCTAAAGGATCTTCACAGGCTGCCAGTACATTTCTGAGCACAATTTGAAGTGTTGGTTCTGACTTTTAAAGCCCTAAATGGCCTTGGCCCAGTATAGCTGAAGGAATGCCTCCACCTCCATCATTCAGCCTGGACACTGAGGTCCACTTCCGAGGGTCTTCTCATGGTTCCCTCACTGTGAGAAGTAAAGTTAACAAGGAACCAGGCAGAGGGCCTTCTCAGCAGTGGCGCCCTCCCTATGGAACACCCTCCCATCAAATGTCAGGGAGATAGAATTACACAACTTTTAGAAAACATCTTAAGGCAGCCTTGTTCAGCGAAGTTTTTATGTCTGACATTTTATTATTTTTTATATTTTTGCTGGAAGCTACCTAGAGTGGCTGGGGAAACACAGCCAGATGGGCGGGGTATAAACAACAAAATTTATTTAATTTTTATTTACATTTAGTTTGATATATAAATGCAGCCCTGGCTTTAGCCAGAAGAACAAGTGAGCAGGAAGGATTTTGTAAGCGGAGATCATTACCTTCGGGGCAGACAACTATTGGCAGAACCAGAAACAGGACCTGATGTCTCAAAGGTTTGTTCAACAGTAGTTTGAGTGTTAACTCTTCCAATTTACCCCTCCCCCCCACACTATTCTCCCAATTTTACATCATGATCCACATGTTCAAGAACCCCACTGGGACTAACAGAGAAAGCAGGGGTGCCTCATTAAAGGGGTCAAGGTGAAGAATCCTCAGTTTGAGATAAAGCTGTAGACATTTCTGAATGTATATGGAACTAAAGTGCATCCCACTTTAAATGATAGGCTGACAAAAGAAGCACATGGTTTAACGTTTAGAAAGTAAGACTATATGAGCTTACATTAAAGGTTGCTTTGACATAAGAGTGTCCAGCAGCTCCTGAAGATCCTAAATTGTCTGGAGTCATTAACGGGTTGGATGACAGTTGGCTACCATCTTGAAGCCATTCATTGTATCTCAAACTGGTCATTTTAATTCTCTTATTTGGATCCACTGTAAGAAGTCCTAATAGGAATTTATTAGACATTCTTAAATCAAAGAACCACAGTTAATAAATGAATATTAAATAAGGAAAACCAAACCCATAAACAAAAATGAGCTGCTTCAACAATCCAGATTGTAACTTTAAATTTAGATTTTAGAATCATACAAATCAATCTTGAATATACTCAGAGCATCATTATTAAATAAATAGTTCATAACAGTATTTATTGAGTATTTGTAGAAGTTGCATGGAATCATTTCATAACATCTAGGAAATAAGATTAAATTATCACGACAGCAGCTATCCTGGTGTATGAACTCCAAACTTTATTTAACAGGGTGTATAAAAGTAAATGATTAAAATGTATCAGATTTTTAGTTTAAAAAAACCTGCAAATACCATGTTTCCCTTACATATAACTTGTTAATATTAAAAAAGGATATAAGCATGTTAGCTCGAGTCAATATCTAACCTAAATCAATCCCCCTCCCAGAAACAATGAGTTCAAAAAACCTATGTAACAAATAACAAATTTGATAATTTCTCAGATATGAATATTTATACTCTAGCTAACTCTAGGCATTTTATTTTCACCTGATGAAAACAAACTGCTCTAGTCTTCCCAGTAACTATCAAACCTTGCTTCAATCAGTCAGCTACATCTGCTGAAATTCCTTCACCCACAGCATGTATCCTTAACATTTTCAGATATGGGACCCACTTATAACCCATTTGGGTACCCATTTATTATCATTTTACCATACATTTGCATGGTGGTAATGCTCCTGTTACAACTCACAGTGGATCAGGCTGCAAACCACTATTGCAGCAGTTCTCAACCTGTGGGTCCCCAGATGTTGAACTACAACTCCCATCACCCCTAGCTAGGAAGGCCAGAGCTCAGGGACGATGGGATTTGTAGTCAAACAACATCTGGGGACCCACAGGTTGAGAACTGCTGCACTATTGGATCCTGACCCACCAGCTGAGGACCAGTGTTCTACAGAACTATTAAACTACACAATTGTCCTCTTTTTCACCTGGCCGATCTACCTATTAATCATAAACATTTCAATTTTACTTGCTACTTGGCTTTCTGAAGGTGGGGCTGGGCCAAAGAAGCAAGAAGTGGAAATCAGCAATACGGGGAAGAAGCCTTTTTTTTACTGCTGATCTAAATCAATGATTCATATTAATTTAAATCCTTATACTCTGTTTTCTAACTATTTTGTCTTCAAAAGTTCCCCCTAATCAAACTATCCAAATATTTTGTTTCAACTTTCACACTTAAAATTTTGGGGTATAAGAGATTAACTGAAGCTTGTCAGCAAAAGATTGGTGCAGACACATTAGATTAGGGCCAAATGAGTCAATCAAATCACAGGTAATTGTACGTATTGTACTATCTTCCTTAGAAATCTTCATTTTAATTAATTTCAAGAATTATACTACTATATTATAGAATTATTCTATATTATAGAATTATACTACTAACTGTTACAGGAATTACTAGAAACATAGTAAAGAAATTATGGGTCAATATATATACCTTGTATCAAATCTTTGGCTTCCTGAGAGACATTCTTCCAAGCATCTCCTTCAAAAGAGAACTCTCCTCTCTTAATTTTCTTCATAATTTCCAATGCACTTGTGCATGTTACATTTTTATCTTGAGACTGGAAGGGTACTTGTCCTGAGAGCATTGTATACTTTTCAAAAATGAAAAATTCTGAATCACTACTACATATAGGGGTGTGTGTATGTCTGTGTGTGAGAGAGAAATGTATACACAAACACAGACACAAATTAAACGTGCCATAACCAATCTACAGTTAGCTAAGCAATTTACATTATATTAGGGGGGAAACAGGACAATTTTTACATGTCCACACAATTTAAGATAATATTTTCAGAAGTTACAGAACAGTTGAGATTCAGTAAACTTTCCTGAAACCAAGTGATAAAATCTCCAGCATCAAATATACTATACTTTTGGTGTTATTTCTATAACAGTGGGCCATGCAGAAAAACATAAAGACTTTCTCTCTTAGTCATTATTAAGAGCTCAGTAGCCAGATGAGGTATCACACTTTCCCCTCCTGCATTACATACCCTGCACTAGGCATAGTTAAGGGATATGTCACAACAGGTATTAACTGTGCTTAAGACTAATGAGATTTCTTGATTACCTATTATTTGACCTTGATTATGAAATCTTGCTTAAGCAAAGCTGCTATGGAAAAGTGTGTGGTTCTATGGTCCACTCCTTAACTTGGATCCAAGCTTTCCCCCCTGTCAGCAGGAGCATCACTTGCATGGAGTTCCACTGAGAGGGCATTCCCACCAGTGGAAGGGATTTTTGCCACTATCTCCTCGCCCTGCAACCCCTTGCACCCGCTTAATGACTCACTTGGCCAATTCTGGACCCTCTGGAAAGGTATGTGGTGACTGCAAGGGGGCAGCGTAATCAGTAGGAAAGGACCACTGGTCTTATATGAAAAGTATTATTCTTTGAGTGATAAGATGCTCTCAGATGAGAGCTCCCCTTAGCACTTGAAGGCAGAAGTACAACTATTGTAATTTAAAGGACCTTGCTCACATCCAGCCAGCTCCTACCAGTATACAACCATCTAAGCTGTGAAATCCCACACATAGACAAATATGAAACAAACCACAGGGAACACAGAAGAACATAGGTTCAGGTCATGTCTGGATGCTCCCTGACCACTTGACAGTGATGCCAGTTGAGGATCTGATGTCACTAAACAGGCTGAAAGGATGCAGTGCTTATGGGCTACCTTTAATTTTAAGCGGTTGTCTCTTGACTCTGGCCGAAGTCTTCTCTAAAACTGCTGTAGCACTGTCTGGGAGCTAAAGAGACAATAAACACCACGCAGACACAACTGAGAACTCACCAAAAGGGCAGAAATGCCTGAACAAAGCAGAAAGACAAGTTTGGGACACAACCTCTCGGCATGAAAGCAGGAGTACAACTGGTGGTAGGTAGCTGGATGTGAGCAAAGTCCTCTAAATTAGCAATCTTGCCTTCAAGCATTAGCGGGACTTCATATCCCACCTGAGAACATTTTCACTCCACTCAAATGAAAATTGCCTCCTCTCCCACTTTTGCCAGTGTTGTAACTCCCTACTTCTGTCAGTGGGAATGGATCAAAAGCCTTTGATTTGCAAAAAGCTAAGGCTGAATTCAATCCCTCCCCTCTTAACTATGATTAAGATATTATATCTGCACAAGACCAGTAAATATACATTCCACTGACTAATGGTCAGCACTCATACTTTAATCTGAGGCCATTATAAGCAACCCTTTTCCACTAGCAATCTGACCAAATGCTCGTCAGTTATTTAAAAATGCAGAATAAAATGAGCAATTAGCTTACCAAAATGACTCCCAAACTCCAAAGATCACATGATTCATCATAACCATTATGATTTAAGAGCTCTGGTGCAGCATAATGAAGGGTAAAACACGGCGTTTTAAGAGGCTGATTGTCAGGTGGCTTTAAGCGGGCAAATCCAAAATCAATTATTTTTATTTCTGAACTATCATTTTCATCTGTAAATAATAAATTCTGAGAGAGAGAAAATTAAATTAGAGATTTGCAAGATATGCTGTCAATATAAACCTAAGTACATTCTTTATTTTTATAAACTTGAGATAACTACAGTTATGCCTTCTCATAGGGATGGGGAACCTGTAGCCCTGCAGATATTAGACTGCAACTTACATCATAAGAACGTAGGAAAAGCCTGGCTGGATCAGGCCGAAGACTTATCTAGTCCAGTGGGCAGTCAGATGCCTATGGAGTGCTTGTAAACAAGCAATGAGCACAACCGTGCTCTCCCCACTTGCAATTCCTGGCAACTGGTATTCAGAGGCACATTGCCTCTGAAAGTGAGGTGGAACATAGTAGCTGTCATGACTAGTATTCATTGAGAGTGCTATCCTCCATTAATTTGTCTAATCCGTTGTTAAATCCATCCAAATTAGTGGCTATCACTACATCCTACGGGAGGGAATTCCATAGTTTAAGCACACGTTAGAAGAAGTACTTATTTGTCCTGAATTCTCTGATATTCCAGTTCTAGTATTACTGGAGGGACGGGACTTCTCCCTATCTACTCCCATAACCATCGACCATGCTGGCTGGGGCTGATGGAAACTGGAATCCATCTGAGAAACACTTTAAAATACATATATGCCCGATAGCAGAATTAAGTCATCACCAAGAACAGAACACACACAATTAAGTGAAGAGAGCATAAAAACAAAAATAGTATTGTTTATATTATAATGTATATGCATTAGTCACCTCATAATACAGATTTTCTAGACAACATAGAATAATGATGATAATAATTGTATTTAATTATATCCCACCTTTTTCCCTTATAGGGACCCAAGCGGCTTACAGCTAAAATAGAAAAAGTATAAAATAAAATACACATGCTCAATGGGTAATCCCATTGGCAGAAAGTGCAGGTAAAACTTACCACAAGGAGCAGAGATAATTCATTTCATACTTAATGAACAAATCGCAACACATAAACTCCATCCTAATGAGAAAAGTGAACTGTCTCTATCATTACTAGAAAACTTATTACAAGAAGCTGAAAATGTCATACCTCAGGTTTTAAGTCTCTGTGGACTACTCCTACATCGTGCATGTGGCTCACCGCTGAAACAAGTCTGCGCATTATATAACTAGCTTCAGTTTCACTGAAGTGCTTCTTTTTCTGGATACGTTCAAGTAATTCTCCTCCTTTCAAAAGTTCCATTACTAGAAAAGTGTGGAGCTATAAACAATATATTTGCATGCAAATTCTTTTTTAGAACATTTATTTCAAAATGCAAGGGACAATAATCAGCTAGATGTATTTAATATTCAAGTATATATACTGTTTACTTTTAAATTCCTCCAGGTTCAAAAAGCTATTGTATGCATATAGTATACTAGGGTCTCCCCCCCCCCCCGCTTATTCTGCTCGCCAAGCCTGCGTATTCACCAACCCCCCTCTCTTTAAACATCACCCACCCGTTTGCCTATCCCCTCACAGCTCTCCCTCTCCCCAGCTTGCCCAAACCCCCAATCCTTTTTAAAGAAAGGCAGAAGGCACTTCAGAGAGCAGCTTGCTCATCTGCTCCTCTGAAACATCTCTCCCTGCTCCATTAAACAGCTCCCCTGGGCTCCCTGCCACCAGCACTGTTTTCTTGCTCTCCTGCCTGCTGTCCCTCACACTGGAGATGGAGTGGTCATCTGTAGACAGCTATGTGAACTGCAGACCATGCCGACAGCCTTAGATTTTTTATTATACAAGAAGACATACATTATGTGTATATAGTATACAGTACTGGTCTTCAACTGGTGGATCAGGACCCACTAGCAGGTCACAGACTTCTCCAAGTTGGATCGTAACAGTAGTTTAGTTCAAATGTAAGCAAATTATTCTACAATATTTACTATTTTAAATACCTGATCATGGTAAACTTCATGCAGCTTCACGACATGGGGATGTCCTTCGCAAAGTTTTAAAGCTGTTATTTCTCTCTGAGTGTTGGCTTCTAGCCTGAAATATTAAGAAGTCAGTTTGTAACAATTTAACAATCCAAGCATTTCCTTGGATCTAAACAATTATGAGTCTGTACTATACAAACTCTTAAAATATCTTATAGGGGCACATTTGGTTGTATTGTGAACAGGGCAGCAATTTGGTAGTAAATCTTCAGATTAAAGAATCAAGTATGTTTGCCTTTTTAAAAACATGTTTGTGCTTTAGCGGAGCCATCTTCTGAGATCCTTCTTTGGCTACACCCTCAGAAGCAAGGAGGAAAGCAACTGGGAAAGGGACTTAACTCAATGGTGGCACCTCACTCATGAAATATTTTGACTATATAGTTTGTGGTTTTATATTCTGGTTTTGTTGTGTGAACCTCCTTGAGACCTCTGGGTATAGGGCAGTATATGAATGAATGAATGAATGAATCAATCAATCAATCAATCAATCAATCAATCAATTAAAATTCTCCCTAGGGAAGCTGATGGTTTGCTTGTCTTTTTAGTGTCAGTCAAAAGCTTCTTTCTTTCCCCGCATTTTTATTTGTTAAACCATTATTCTTTAACCACTGTCATTACTTTATGCTTTTTAATTATGTTGTTGAGTAAGCAGCCCTGAGAATATCTATATTGAAGGGCAGCAGAGGCATTTTTTAAGGTAAAACAACAACAAAAAAGCTATTTTCATTATTCAAATTTATAAGAAACAACAAGAAGAAAACATTTAACCTTTTACTAATTATTTTTACTGCATATTCTTGGCTAGTTTTCTTGTGTAAGCATTTTCGACAGATAGAAAAACTTCCTTCTCCCAGCGGTCTTTCTTTCAGGTCTAGTTCATAGTGAAGATAAAACGAAGAGTCCTGCGAGGGATAGCAGAAGAGAGGGAAACTGGTTGTATTTAGTAATCTTTACTGAATAAAAGAAAAAGAACAAAGTTACTTGAGAATTTTTAATTACAGCAAAACATATTTTGTGCTGTATTAGAATACCACAGGCGGCAACCAATTTGTGCAGGGGTTCCGTTCCTGGCCCTCACGAGTGTTGGCAGAGCACCCATAAGCCCATTCCGCCCCCATCCCTCCCTTTTCCAGGTCCAAAATGACCAGCGCATCAGTGGTCACGTGTCAGTTGGATGTGCCTAAAAAGATCACCACCTGTACTAATTGCAAGTTTACAGTATGTCCTTTTTCCTGCCTTGGGAAACAGCAAAGTAATGTAATATTTATTTGTTTATTTAGACTTCTGTACTGCTCTTCATCCATAGATCACATGGTGGCTTACGGTATAATAAAAACTTAAAATTCACAACATAATAACAACAAGAAAAACAACAACCCCCACACAGACACTTTTAAAAGGCCACTAAGAATTCTATCATTAAATATTTTCTTTTAAAATATCTTAAACTGAAAATATCGGGGGGGGGATGTAAGTTATAAATATGTTATAAAACAGAGTTACATCTTTTAATTAGGCCATTAAACTGCTATATTAAGTTTTAACACTACCTTCATCATAGCACTCCTGGCAATACTTGTAATTCCAGGTCGGTCCACTGCTGTCAGGAAGTGAACAGGATCCATAGTGGCTGCATTACGTTTGAATAAGATAGAAGGAGCAACAAAGGAGTATCCCTAAAGAACAAAAAGAAAAGATATCCATCACGCCCAGAGTTTCCAGCTATCAAATTTTAATTGTAATTTCAATAATTTAGGGTAAGCGTAATTCAGACAGAAAAAAAAAAAATCAGCATCCAAGATAAGCCAGAATCATTATATTCAAGGAAATTATGCACCTTCTTATCACCGTAAGAGGAAGCCTGCCTGAAAGAAATTAAACCATCTTCTGATCCATTTAAAAAAAAAATCAATTAAAAGCTCAGTTTGTAAAAAATAAAAAAGAATGCTAAAAAACTGACTCACAGCTTTTTCACTGGTGACAAAGGGTGATACGTCAAACTGGCTAGCTTCTCAAGAAACCTACAGTTAAGGTATCAAACAAGCTTGCATTATGACTGGCCAAATGGATTTTTATCTGGTAAACACAAATGTTATATTCTAAAATCTCAGTGGAATTACCATGATTTATTCCTTAGTTCCAATTTTCTTTTATGTTCTATTTCTGCTTTTTTTAAACTGTAAAGTTAATTGCTCCTCAAATTTAATCATGGGTTTTGTGTGTGTGTGTGTGTGTGTGTGTGTGTGTATTTAAATAGTTTAATGTCTTACATGTGTTCCATATATTCAACCTGCTTATACTGGGAGTGACATTAATTTTGAAAATATTCTCGTAAAGAGTTCCAACATGTTCCACAAAAACAAAACTGAAGCAAAATTCTGTTATACCTCCACCATTTAGAAGTAAGATTTCAAGAAAAACTCAATGTAAATGAGACTGGGGTGCAAAAATTCATTGGATGAATTTCACAATTTTTGACGTTTTTGGAACTAAGCTGGAAGAAACCATTATATCATTGAGTAAGATTTATTAGACTATGAGTAAAATCTTTAGGTTTTGCATTGAAGAAACTCCATACATCAATTGTTATTTTCTTTTCAATTCCCTTGGAATTGTTAGGGAAAAATTCAGCTATCTTTGATGTGGAGCCTATCCATACTCTTACCAAGAACACTATTAAAGTATCTCTCTAAAATAATGCACTATATAGTGTTCATCAAGGTTTTTTTTAAAAAAATAAAAATAAAAGAGTGGTTAACACTTTTGATACATCTGACCCTGCTAATTTAATAAGAATAATATATCTACCTGTTATCTCGTATTTCCTCTTGGACTACCAAGGACCTGTTCTGTAAGATAATAGCAACACCTCTTTTTTTTTTTCATCAGAAGAGCAAGTAGCATACAAATCTTCCAATTTTAAAAGAAGGATCTGCTCCTTTCTTTATATTTTTATTTTTTTCCATTACAGTTTACATTTAGACTCATTTCATACATTTGAAAATGTCCAACCTAAGGAGTCCCATTGCCAGACTTATTTAAGGGAAATAAAATATGAGCCAGAACATCTACATGGACATCTGACAGGGAACCAACTGAAGCTCTTCTCCTCCAGTATAAGGAGAGTTTGTGACAATGCTTGGGTTTCATACATTCGAACTTCCCCAATGTAGATAAGATGATGAGGACACTTTGCACGAAGGATTTTTAAACACACAAACCAGGGCAAAGCATTATCAATCACAGACGGACTTGAATCAAGTACCTTACATGTGGCCTGGCTAGAATGGGTCCATTTAGTTTTAGTGGTAAGCTTGTTTTGCCTCTCTACTCTTCTGCTACCTTCTCCTCTAAAACTTCAGTCACTACAGTGGTGCCTCGCAAGACGAAATTAATTCGTTCCGCAAGTTTTTTCGTCTTGCGATTTTTTTCGTCTTGCGAAGCACGGACGGTGTCGGGAAAGTTTTGGAAAAGCTTCAAAAATCACCAAAGTCTTTAAAAACCTCAAAAAAGGCTACCACACCACGTTCTATGAGTTGCTCCTCGAAGTCAAGTCGCAACTGTATTAACGGTGTTAAGAAAAAGGAAACAAACTTGCAAGATGTTTCCGTCTTGCAAAGCAAGCCCATAGGGAAAATCGTCTTGCGAAGCAGCTCAAAAAACAAAAAACCCTTTCGTCTAGCGAGTTTTTTGTCTTGCGAGGCATTCATCTTGCGAGGTACCACTGTATTAAATTATGCTACCTTCCCCATATTTTGTCTGTGTACAAAGTCTGCCTCATGCACAGCCCCCAGACAACCGTCTCAGGCTGTTCCTATTTCGCTTTCTTATCCTGAAAGCCTTTCTGTGGTTCCCCAGTCTGCAGCCTGCTCTGCTTTCCACACCAGCTGAAATTGCTTTCTGTGATACATATCTCATCCTACTTCTCTTGCTTTGCTGTACCCCTCACTTAGATGCCACAGTCCATCCAGCTCATTGAAAAAGGTCCGATCCTGAAGAAACAAACATAAATCTTCTCTTTCCTGAGAGGCACTGACTCTATAGTGCACAAGACTAACAAATATATTTCCTTGTTCTCTTCTATTATCGTCAACTACAAGAGTAGAAGAATGGATGCACATATACTGCTTACATTTCTTTTTTTGCCCATTTTTAAGTTCATAGAGCTCTAGAGTAGCCCTTGTACACTAGCAGAGTTAAGCAACATGGCCCAGATTCAACTAACCAGGCATGCTAGCGAAAGCCGGTGCAAGGGCTCCCACTAGTGCAAAAGAGCTTTCCCTTCCCTCCTCCCCCACATGCCCTCCACTCCTTCCCCAAATCCACTCTGGAGAGTTGGGAGAACCCCCAGAATGGTGCATGAGGGGGAGGGGGGGATCATTCCATCTAGCAAGCAGAAATGCTTACACTGACAAAACTATAAGAGAGCAATGTCAAATTCCTCACTGTGTCTCAGGGGGTTGGCAGGAGGGAATCAAAATTAGTCTTAATCATCATCTTTGACTATCTAATCAAGATTTAATACCTTTGCCTTCAAAATCAGTAACAATTTTGATCTGATGACTCTCAGATTTATAAATGATGCTTTACAGCCAACCTACAGCATTACTTGCCATTTTTACTTTTCTTTGCATACTGTCAGTCACCAACTTAACTCAATGCATTTCAAATAGTGCTACACAGCCATATTTTTCAGTGTGGGATATATAACTGATGGTCATATTTTTTATTTTATAATTTTACTTGTCAACTAAGTCTGCACTTTTTCTAATGATCCTAAGATGGGTTACATAGTCATGCAAGCATGACTATTCCTTCCCACACTAGTGAAGGCATAATGATGAGACTTTATTCAGTCCATTTGTTTATGTTAGTATCAAAACATCTCTAGCAAACTTCATTCACTTTAATCACCTTCAGAAACATCACATTTTATTTAATTCTGAAATTATCTTTGCACGAGTTCCTAATAATAATAATAATAATAATAATATTATACGCAATTACCTGGAAAAGCTTATCTGCAGCTTGTGGTGTGCTTGCTGGAGAATATGTTGGGTCCATTTCTGTAAACTCCTCTGCAAAGTTACTAACATCCAATTCATCACGAATTACTGGTTTAAATGGAGCTGGCACTATTTTGGCAGCCAAGTCATTCCAATTCAGTTTCTAAACAGAAAGTAATTTTAGAAAGTAATGAAAGCAGAGCAAAAGATGAACATTTCAACAGACAAAGAGAATTGCTCAGGGAAGTTTAATAATGACTTACAGTGCAATCCGATGTACATCCACTCAGGAATTAAGTCTCATTATATTCAGTGAGACTTACTCCCAGGTAAACGTGTATAGAACTGCAGCCTAAGACTTCAGATATGTTCTTTGGGCAAATGTGGTTGAGCATAAATACAAAAGATGCAACCAAGGCTTTGCTCTCCACTTTGTTCACAAACTTCAGAACTAACATATTGTGCTTGCAATCTTTGCTTATTTTACTTCAGCCTTCTTAACTATGACTTACATTGTAATCCTATTAATGTCTATTCCCAAGTAAGGCCTGCTCTTTTTAGTGGGACTTACTCCCAGCTAGGTGTGTATAGGAGTGAATTTTTAAATTATCTTTTATAAGCAACTCCCAATTTACGTGGGGGTTACGTTACAAGGCACCGCACATTTAAGTGAAAATGTGTATATTTGAAACACCCCATTCTGCCCCACCTCACTCCTTTTAGTGACATTTTCGGGTCACTTGCGGGTTCAGCGCGATATGCGTGTGCACAGTCACACACATAAATCAAGGCTTGCTTGTACTTTAGAATCTTTCAGTTGTGTCAATATTTATTTATTTTTAACACAGGAAGAGGAGAAGTTTCATGTGTTTCCCTGTAGATCATAATCCATCATTTTCGTACCACCGCAAAAAAAACCTTATATGTAAATAATATTGTATAAATAATAGAGTAATTATGGGAAATTAATATGCAACACTATGTATTGTGTTAAATTTGTAGGTAAGTACATTAAGTGAACTATAGTAAAAATAAGGTCAGGGGTTTGTGTGCTCAGAATGAGTAATGGTTGGATATGAGTTTTGAAAGGGCATTTGAATACTGGTAGGAGACAGCTGCAGTTGGCTTGGGAGAGTGTTTGGAAGGTTGCAGCAAGGTTAGTAAGATACAGTAGGATCAGCATTGTTCTTGGTCATTGTTTGGGGATAGATGCTGAGATTTACCTTAGGCCTATTTAGAAGGGTAGATTGGGTTGGAGTGTTTGTATGGACCCAAGTAGAATGTAAGAATGCACATAATTAAAACCATATGCTTCTGTGCAATGAATAATTGCAAACCTTTTTATTACTTCTGTTATCAATATAATTGCTGCATCATACACACTTGACCAGCTATGCTAGAGATGGCAATTATTTAAGTACTTGGTATCTGTAGTGGCAGAGAAAAGAACGAGGATTTAAAATACCTGGCAGCAACCCAGCTCAGGACTATACCTCCAAAAGAGAGAGAAGCACATATAGGGGAGTTGAGGTGGATCTGAGGGTGATGTCAGAGAACCACGTAGCTAAGGGGAAGTAGTATAGCAGTCCTTTCTCTAATGCCTGTCAGACATATTTCTAAACAAAAAATAACATGTTTCCAAAGCAAAAATGAAAAACAGACAATATCTAGTTTTGTTTCACCTGGAAGAAGGGATGCTGTTTTATTTCATCAGCACCATCTGAACCACAGCCCAGTCTTTTCTTGGGATCTTTCATCAGAAGACCTTGAATTATATCTTTGGCTAGAGCAGTCATTTCTTGGGGATAAGGAGGTTCGCTTTTCAATATTCTCCTGAAGAACAGGGAGAAAATCACAACAAGGTAGTGAAATGTTCACCACATGGTGATAGCGTATGTAGAATTGTGGCCATAAAGTGGTACACACTGTCATATGCTTGTCAAGACAGCTGGGTCCACCTAGTGACTAGTCCAAAACTTTATGGAGAGCCACTAGCAGTCAGAGTAAAGACTCTTGCTACCCAAATTTTAGTACCAGTCCTGCTACCTAAGACCCTTTGAAATGGTGGTGCCAATAAACCTTATCTAGGAAGCATCAATAGGACCCATCAATGCAATGGTTCTCAAGAATTGGACCTGGGGTCACTTTCAGGGGGCCTCAGTGTCACAGCCTGCTCAGCGTCTCTACATTTGCTTGCCCTAACCTCCATCTGCTTGGATCAATACCAGCACTAGCAACTCACTGCATGCTGATGTTCCAGGGATAAGGGATGAAAGAAATTGGCAGTTGGAAGGGTGGGGAGTTAGGAAGAAGTTGAGTACCAATGGAGAATAGGAGGGGAAATTACAGAAGATGAGTAAAAATAATTAGAGAAATCCATCTCCACTTACAGCATTTGGATCAGGAAATTCTTTCTAAAACAGAACGGCTGAGTAATAATACCTCCAGAGCAAATGTTTGTACTTAGCTTGCGGAAATCTGAGCTACAGGATTCTTTGCCAGAAGGAAAACAATGTGGCAAAGAATTTAACCATTTCCAAAGGTGTATTATAAAATCAGTAATTATTTCTGTGACTGATGGGCCTCTGTAATTTTCAGTAGTCTCACATGGGCTCTAAGAGTAGAAAGTTTGAAAACTCCTGCATTAATTGATATATCCTAGCTGCTTATACAGGAAGGTTTCTAAGATGCAGTTGCTTTTTCCAATTGCATTTATTAACTTCAAACAACATTGGCAGACTGTGCTTCTCTTTGAATTTTTGCCTAAATCAAAATAAGTATTCAACTTTTTACTACCTTTCAGAAAAATATTAAATATGATTTTAAAAAATCATTTCTGGATAAGTAGCAGGGATATATCTACCCAGTGCTTATTTAATGGATTATATTTTATCCTGCAACCAAGAGAGGGATTATCAATTAGAACATTCACAGGATCATCAGCAATATAATACAGAAGCTCCTACGGGCATTCAGGAATCCTTCGGTGACATAAGAATTTGTGGGTGGACCATCTTAATAAGCATATTTTACCTGTGAAATGGATCCGGTGCTGCAAGTCTAAAGCTCAACATAAAGTACTCTGACAACATCCAGTCAAGCTCTGTAGAATTTGTACACTACATCTTTTATTGTACTCTGGTTTCCACAAATTGTTAAACAAATGTAGACTATATAAAATAAGATTTTCTTTAAAAGTGGAGTTTAAAAATCTAATAATTTGCAGCCAATTTTATAACTTACCTAGATATCTCAGTTTGTGAGTTTCTCTCCCCATCAACAGTAAAAGGTGATGCTCCAGTTAATAATTCATACATAAGAACACCTAGACTCCACCAATCAACAGCCTATAAAATAATCATGTAAGTTATAAAAGCAGAAAAAATACACTAAGCCAATACAATTATTCTAAGAAATAACAATTATCCAGACAGCTATCTTCACAGCTAGAGGTAAATCAAGATAGATGAATTTATAAAATAGAAATAAATTATAACTCATGTGAAGGATCTGGGCTTTACTGTCCTGGACTGACTGGATGCACCTTGTTTTATGGACTGTTGCATATTATATGGGACTACGTATCTTTTTGTCTATCGCCCATCGTTCTTGTCTGTTCATTTGTGGATTATAGGGTTAACTTGTGAAACTTAATTCATCCTGGGGTAGTCTTATAGAAATAATTTCTCCCTTTATCTGGTGGCAGTGAATTCATAAGTAGGGAAGAGTGGCCACAAGCAAAGGGGTACATTTCCCTTCCCTCAGCAACATCTAAATGTTTTACAAACTTCACCTATGTTTTATTAAGGAAAATCATACCTTATCATGACCTGTCTCCCCTCCTTTGACAATATCTGGAGCCATATATTCTATAGTTCCACAGAAGGAATATGCTCTTTCATTCTGAAAAAAAGAAGGCACACAACACACTAACTGATATGAGAATCACAAGACAAAATGAGGATAAGAGAAAAGACTAACAGTTCCTAGCACCTCTATTATCGGTCCAAACTGACAACTCTGAGAATAGATGCTACTTCATATATTATAAATATAAGTTGATCACACAAGCTGAGGCTGATGAGTGATTAAGACCAACAACAACTGGAAGGCCACAGGTTTTCATATAAGAATCAAGATTTTTATTTTTTATAAACCTACATTCTCTGATCTACCAAAGTAGCGCTTGCTGTCATCTATCATCACAAAAAGAAAACACCAGGTGCCTAAGTGGAGCCAAACCATCAACAATTACTCTGTTTTTAAAAAAATGATAAAGAAGGTATTTACTAGTAAAATGACAATTCCTGTTTTGCACATAACACTAAGCCATGATTTAGCCAAAGTGTAGCTTGTCTAAGTATTTGAACCCAGCAGACCAATCTTGGTTTGTATTGCAGAAACAAATGTGAAACCATGGTTTGTTGTAGGCTTACAAACTATGTTGTAGACATATGATCCATTGGAGAACAATCTTAGGAAGCAAATTCTGTGCTCAAATGCATATGTGACGATTTCAATGAGAGCTAATATTTCAACTTGTTTATGTTCTGCCTTCATTTATACAATCACTTGTTCAAACACTTCATATGAAGATACTCACTTCATCACTAACAAACTCCTTACTCAAGCCGAAGTCAGTCAGTACCACATGGCCATCAGAATCAAGCAGAATATTCTCAAGTTTTATATCACGATATATAATTCCCAACTGAAAAAAGAAATTTAATTCATTATATACTAGTAAGCATATTAAAGCATGCTCATAATTATTAGAATGCTAAATACACTGAGGTGTGGTTATTAGCATTAAAAAACCTATCTGTGCTCTATATTTACACAGGGTGGCCCAATTTAAATCAAGTTTCCTATGAATAAATCTTCATATATGTATATTTAAAAATGGTGCAGATCTGACATTAATTTACAACTAATTTACAATTAACATATAAACAGAACACCAATTGGAGAAATGTATTTTGTATGCTTGTAAGATAACCTGCTTTTTATTAATTTTAGAGCAATATTATGCTACTTACCTCTAGAAATAATTCTGAATATTAAATCAAATACTTTAAATACTCCTATTACAACTAGCAGGTGTGACAGTTTATTGAATAAAGGAAATGACACACTGGACGATATTGTCTTCTTTGTAGTGCTGGTCATTTTTTATTCACTCTGCTTTGGCCCAGCAACACCCACATTAAATCAAAGTAGCAAACTAAATTAAATGTGCATGATTGCTAAGTCAAAACAGGAACTGAAGTTTCTGGGCAGACTAGAGAAGATTTTTTCTATGTGTAGTAAGCACAGCGTAAATATTTGAGAAATGATGACATTTCTTCATTTAGAAAGAAAAACTTTTTCAATTAACCACTGTTTGCTGCTATCTCTGAATCTAGAACTGCAGTTACAAAGCAGGATCATTAACCAGTTTGAAGTTGGCTTCTTTTAATAATCTATAGTTAAAACTAATCACAATTTCTCCCAGATTATACACAATGACACAAAACACAAATAGTTGAAAATGGAAGCAAATGCTTCTGACATGCCAGTGGTGGGGTACACAAACCTGAGGCTTATGCATTTATCTCTAAACCACTGGATGCTCAGGTCCTGCTTACCAAAGACATCTGGTTGGCCACTGTGAGAACAGGATGCTAGACTAGATGGGCCACTGGTCTGATCCAGCAGGCTCCTCTTACGTTATGTTATTGACTCAAATCTTGATTATTAAGGTCAACGCCCCACATAACAGAATTATGACACAATCCAAAATATGGTTATGGGGAAATACGGTGAGCCTCATTTCATGCACACACAGCCTGGGTTCATGCTTCACACTAAAACATGGTTTAGTGCAATATGCACAAACTGCAGTGATCCTCAGACTTGTATACTTCTCCCAACCCTTTCCTCTTCCTGCATGGTCAAAGAGGAGGAATCTGGGTTCTACTTTTAGTTAATCATAGCTGGCCATGTCATACTGGTTTCAAACTTATGGCTAGTTTCAACCTGCTAGTCTAAGAACCTTAAAATGACTTGTTTGAAGTTAACAATAATTAACCACAGACAAATAGCATTTACCAGTGGCCCATTGTCACGTAGCTACTGCATTTAACACGCTACTTGCTGTGTGGTGGGAGGTGAAGGAGGCATTTTGTACATAGGAAGAACCTTAATATTGGTTCACATTTAAGAATAATCCATAACTACATGCACAACCTGGAGAGAAATTCTTTCATGCCTCTTTCTCCTGTGTATCCAGAAGGATTTCACTAGCATTTAACGGCAATTTCCCCTGATCCTGCCTTGTGGTGCTGTTGGCTTGTATTGAAACAGGCCAGTTTGTTTTAACACACAATCTCTGGTGTGCATGGCACAGCAACCTATCTTAGAGGAAACTAAATGTTATATTTTTGTAAATCACTTTGAGGTGTTGTTTTTTAATAATCAAGCAATGTATAAATTGTATTAAAATTCCATAGGCATGTTTACCCATGCTGCTGCAAACAGCGTGTTAAATTTTGTCATGTCTAATGTTTATACAGTTTAAAGCGCAAGTCTTCTTTCCCCCTTTTTCACACTTCAAAAAACACATGGAATTTCTCAGGAAAGTTCAAATCATAGTTTTACCTTGTGCAGGTGTTCAAGTGCTAACACAATCTCTCCAATGTATATTCGTACCTCATCTTCAGTAAATCTCTCTCTCTGTGAAAGATGGGTAAAAAGTTCTCCTCCATTTATGTAATCTAAGATACAGGAAGTTGATTATTTAATGTAGCTTTATTTTTTTTAAAAACACACAACAGAAAGCAGTATCATCTATTCTAAATTGCTCAGTTTTGCTCAGTAAGAATAACAGACCTTTAAGAACCCAACTACACATTACATGAAAACTCTGACAGACCCCAAGGAAAAGCTGCTCTGAGACAACCATTTGTAATAGAAAAGAAATGACTCCACCAGGTTGCTTAACCCAGAGTTCCATTTCTCCCCTCAAAGGATTCTTCCAGGCATTTAACATGGGATGACAATGCCTCACTCACTCACATTTTAGAGGGGTGGGGATTATGCCATCTTTGCCTAATCAGTCTGTTTTCTCAGCAACTATATGAAGTTTTCCCCTACCACAGATCAGACCAAAAAGAAACACAGTAGCAGTTCCTTATCACTGTTTTTTCCTTCTTTTTAAAAGCTCCTCCTGCTGGCTTGTGCCATTAATCACTTCCTCTTTCTACCAGTGCTAATCTAAATAGTCCTCTAATTAGCTTGTCCTCCAGAGTGCATGTTTGTGTGTGTGTTTAATTACCCTTGATGCAAAGACAGAAGGAACTGAAGTTTTAGAATTTGAACCTCTCTTTTTTCCTTAGAACAGAGAATGCACAACCAGTGTGAAAGTCTCTGCATTAACTTCTATCTCATTGCTGGGAGGAGGTAAGAACTTCTAGAAACGAATAAACCATGAGTAGTTGGGTGAGAAGAGAAGAGGCTCAGCAGAATGTGCAGCAAAATCCCACTAATGTAGATGCTCTGTTGCAATTCTGGATGCAACATAAAACGGAAAAGAAACAATTAGAGAATTTGAAGGGCCCTCTCCTTCAGGAAGCACCAAAAATCTAATTGGCCCATTGAGTTTCAACTACAGGTTTATTTAGAGTAGGGCTGAGCACGAACCACAAGATTGTAAAATAGCTTGATTCAGCTTGGACCAATTCAGAGGCTGCCCAAGTTGACACAGGGGTCCAAGCCTCATGGGCCAAATCTGACTTCCTGATAGACCAAGACTGACCCATGGGCTGCTGGTTGCCCAATCCCTGGATTATATACTTGGCCTGTCAGTCACAACAGACTTCTCACCTTGACATCTTCTTTAGATACATAAATTCCACTTTTGCAAAATTCTCTCCCTCAAAGCACTAGTGTTTGAGAGCACTGGTAAACACAGTCTCTCTAATTACAAGCTAGACCAGTCAATCACAATGGAATTCTCCTTCTAGTCTCCTCACTCTGGTGTTTGCTCTCTCTTCTCCCTGGATCCCAACTGCTGAAAATGAAAATAGCCACTTGTCTGCAGCATTTTAAAAAAATGTCTAGATCACCGAGGTGCCATGAAGCGCTTCAGGAGTACCCATTTTGATAAAACCACCTTGTAGAGATCCCTCTTTGCCTCTGACAAGCCCAAAATCTCTCAGAGGCATAAGAGAAGCTTGAACAAGGGTTATGCAACTGAACTATCTGTAGCCGTGAACTGGAAACCAAAACTGACAAGCTGCGTTATTAAAGGAAAATATTCAAAAGCAGGGTGGGAGGCGGGGGGCAGGATTATAGTCTTGTCTAGAGGTGTTAACATTCATGAACCTGAAGTGGGGCATGTCAGCACTGAAGGGAGAAAACGTATCTAAGCTGCCACACAGTTGGTAGCCTGCATAATTACAATTTCAACACACATCTCCTTCTGATTTGTCAGAAGGTATTTATAAATGGCTTAAAGCTAACAATCAGCAACTCGTTGGTTTATCTCAGGTGCTCCAGTGTCACTGTGTTCCATTCCAGCATAGAACCACAAGCTAACCCCTTACTCTTCCATCCTCTGTCTTCTTCTCAGTACAGCCCCGGTTGCTTCCTCTGTAACATTATCAGGACATCTAACACACATAACGCATGAATGTTTGTATTTTCTAATGTGACTTGCTTTCAGATCACTGAAAAAGTTTGTCTATTGATTTCAGTTGGTCTGCTTTGAGCATGTTGAATACAACTTATAGATCCATGATAAGAATAAATAATTTTAAAAGCATATTCTTCAGTTGGTAAACTCTTTGGATGTTTATTATATTCTACCATTGACTGGCCTGGCACTCTTAACATGGAATCACTGAACTTTAATGTTAGATTTTTTTTTTGTTTCAGTGAAAATATTTCTTTGTTATATTAAAACTTACCCAAAATGAGATGAAGCTTTGCATCTGTCTGAAACGCATAATGCAAAGTCACCAAAAATGGTGACTGTCGGATGTGTTCTAGTACCTGCCGTTCAGTCTTCGTATGTTCAGTTGTTTTGGCTTTTTGAATTATTGTTGCTTTTTTCAAAACCTTCATGGCATATAACTTGCCAGCATCATGACCACTTATCTTCCTGACTAGAAACACCTTCCCATAAGCTAAAAACAAACATATGGCACAGTATAAAATACTCAAAAAACAACAGATATTTGTACGAGTAATTGGATACCATAGTATTCAATTCCTATCACTTTCCCATCTTCACAACTGAGCAAAGTACCTAAATCAAGGTAATTCCAACCCTATACACATAGAAAGATAATTATTGGAATCTCTGAACTCAATGGCATTTCTATACCTTGTTGACTGAAATAATACTGAATTAAAATGAAAAGTGATAATAGAAATGGAAAAATGAGAAAAGGGAGATGTCAGAATATATGGGGAATACCCAAGGTTTGCAGAAGCAGATTTTAAAAAAAACAAAACAAAACAAAAACCTACGGTGGAAAACCACCCAATAAGTATTCAGCATTCTCAGCAGCCATATAATACTGAGTGTAAGTCTGGAAGAAGAAAAAGGGGGAACGGATGGTATAACTTGGAGGAGAGCTTGTCTGGAAGCACTTCTGGTAGAAGGGTAAAGAAGCAGTCCTACTTGTTACTGCTATTGAGAAAAAAAACAGGGTATGGGGAAGTGAATAGAATAGGATATCCTGAAAAGGATAATGGTCCCTCGCAGGAACCCTAACAAGAGCACTTTACATTTAACATATTGTGTATGCAGTCATTAAACTTAAGATCTTTTTAATAAAAAAAACCCCTACTTAACAATTGTTTTAATATTTTCATATTTAATTAGCAAAGAGAACCTATTCTTACCTCCTGTCCCAAGAACTTTCAGCAGTTCAAAGTTCTCAATGCCCACCTTCTCTACATGACCAGTCAAGTTTGCTAAGAAAACACAAAAACATTTTAGTGTAAAATTACTAGCTTTGTCTAACACACACACACACACAAACACAAAACAAGGAACAGGTCAAGGCTGCTGTCAGCTGCTATCAACAATAGCTACTAGATGTCTAGACCCCAAACAATATTGTATTAAAACTGTTTAGAAGCCATTTTGTATTATAAATGAATAAATAAGATTAGAACTTAGCTTATGTTGAGACATCACAACATTCACAACAAGTTCTGCTGCTGTCAACAGCTGCTGATGTAGAATGAGGTGGGAAAACAAACGTTCCCAGCCCTTCTTGTTTGCTGCCTCTCCTCCCAACTCTTTTATAGATGCAGAACTAATAATGGAACATTACTTGAGCTTTTGACACCACCCCGCCCCACCAGAAAAAAGAGGGGAGAAAACCACTGCTTCCTGACATTCTCAAAACCTACCGTACACACACATTCTGCACCCCATCTTTTATCTCCTTTCCTCAAGAGAAAAGGGTCAAGTACACAGGCACTGAATTTTGCCTGTGAAATACAGTGGTGCCTCGCAAGACGAAATTAATTCGTTCCGCGAGTTTTGTCGTCTTGCGATTTTTTTCGTCTTGCGAAGCACGGTGTCGGAAAAGTTTTGGAAAAGCTTCAAAAATCACCAAAGTCTTCAAAAATCTCAAAAAAGGCTACCACACCACGTGCTATGAGTTGCTCCTCAAAGTCAAGTCGCAACTGTATTAACGGTGTTAAGAAAAAGGAAACAAACTTGCGTCTTGCAAAGCAAGCCCATAGGGAAAATCGTCTTGCGAAGCAGCTCAAAAAACAAAAAAACCTTTCGTCTTGCGAGTTTTCCGTCTTGCGAGGCATTCGTCTTGCGAGGTACCACTGTAAACTTAGTCCCTCCTGTCCACTTCCCCCTTTTTTCAAGGGAATGGCAACTTGGTGAAGCAGCACTAGCAGCTGGGATATCGGCTGTGAAATGCATCCTATAAATTCTAATCAACTTAAGGGTTTGAGCAAGCCATTCCCCGCAACACTCAAGTGAAACCCCCTAACACACCATAGGCCCCGGAAGCTCACAACCCTTTTTGTTCTTTTAACACTGTTATCATAATTTACAAGTTAATGCACCCCCAACACTACTGGGGAGTTCCCAAGTATACAATAGTTTTTGGGTTGCCACATGTCACCACTACTAAACTGACAGGCACTCACTATCCAAGTTTGCTATTTGAGGGAATGTTTTTAATTATGGAGGAAATGAAACATGGGTCATTTTAACATATTGTAGAAATTATGGGTTGAATCCAGACCTATTTGGTTATATTTAATTTCAGTTTAAATCAGTGAGATTTAAATGGGAACTATGTGCAAGTAGCTAGATCCAGAGAGAAAATCCGGCATGATTTCAGGGGCTCTTTATCATAACAGAGCTAATTCACATTTATTTCTGAAGTGGTCAGGTTCTAACACTGTGGTTTTATCACATTTTTACATAGGAAATGGTTGGTGTGAAACAGTTACCACATGAAAAACTGAAGAGTTACCACATCTGAGGAAACACTACAAAAGAAAGACTGTGAAGTTTATTTGCATTTCAAAATGAGACTTCAATGTTTTTCTAACCAATGTAACAACAACTGGATGCCCATGCTGAATTGAAAAAGATATGTTTTTCTTAGATGTGATTCTTTCTTGCAACATCTACATATATTCATATATGTAAAATAAAACATAAAGAACAATTTATTTGAATAACAAATTATTGTGATTTTGAAGCAATACCTGAAGTAGCTGGGATGAATATGAACAAAGCATTGTTAACCCTACTTGCTAAACCTATCCATTTTATTCATTTGCATGAATAAACTAAAAGTAATGAGTATGAGCTGTATGCCATTACAGAAGTACATCATGTCCATTAGCAGCAGCCTAGCATCTATGAAAAACCAGAAGGCTTTATTCTATGCTTAATTCAAGGTGTGCCACAGTGCTATACAAGATGCCTACACTCTTGCTGGGACTAATGCGTCAAGAATTTAATCAGTGACATACTGTAAAATGTGCTTTTATGCAAGATTTTAGGCAGCAATCAAGCACAGGATAAAGGAGGGAGAAGCAGTAAAAAGAAAATGAAGCACTATAAACAAATCCCTCCCTAGCAGCCGTTTTGAGGGAAGCATTAATAATCATTTCAAAAAAGAGAGAAACATTCAGGGAGTTTTTGCAATGGTTTCCTTCCAATTTCTGCTTGACTTTAGCTGGCTTATCTGTCAGGATGAATAACAGTCACAAAGTAAGGAGATAAAGTAGAAATTAAAAATGAAAAGCAGGTGTCAACTCGTCTTAAGTAGATAGTATATTTTGATACTTTATGTTCTCTGTGGCAACATACAGCAGAATACAACAATAAAAGTTAACATTGTTTAAGATGGTGGCACTTATTTTGAAACTGAAGATCTCATACTATATTGTTAGTGTTCACACACACAAAGGAGGACGTAATAGAAATACTGAGCCAACTATTATTAAAAAATGCTCTGGAAAAGATCAAAACTGGGTAGAACTGCTTGTCTGATCACTTTATTTCCCACCTCCCTAAACCCTTTACTGTAGATATTTAAAGTGCTAATAACTAGTTAACATGGCATATACCGTATTTTTCGCCCCATAGGACGCACCGGCCCATAGGACGCACCTAGTTTTTTGGGGGGGGAAATAAAGGAAAAAAGTTATTTCCCCCCCAAGGTGCGGGGCTGGGGCGGGGGAAGTCCGAGCTTCCCCCGACCCCAGAACAGGCTGCTATCCGCTAGCCGTGGGAGAGCCGCGTGGCTCTCCCACGGCTAGCGGAGCACTGCACGAAGACCGAAGCTTGGGGCGTGCTGAGCTCAGCGCGCCCCAAGCTTCTAGGTGTCGGCAAGGTCTCCGCTAGCCGTGGGAGAGCCGCGCGACTTCGTGGGGCTCTCCCACGGCTAGCGGAGCGCTGCGCGAAGCCCGAAGCTTGGGGTGTGCTGAGCTCAGCGCGCCCCAAGCTTCTGGGTGCAGGCAAGCTCTCCGCTAGCTATGGGAGAGCTGCGTCTCCCACGGCTAGCGGACAGCTTCCTGAAGCCTGGAGAGCGAGAGGGGTCGGTGCGCACTGACCCCCCTCGCTCTCCAGGCTTCAGCGAAAGCCTGCATTCGCCCCATAGGACGCACACACATTTCCCCTTCATTTTTGGAGGGGGAAAAGTGCGTCCTATAGGGCGAAAAATACGGTACCCATTTAAAGAGACAGTACTGTATTAAGCTTGTGTAGTGTGTAATCTCCTAATAAATAAACACTAATATATTGGTTAAATATAGTAACTCTATCCAACTAACTTTGTACCATGCTTATTTCCCTCAACTACCAGTTACTGGAAAGTTAAGAATATTAATGGGTATAAGTAATATTAAATGGTAGCAGAAAACCATTGGCATGGAAGTCAGGTTTTGTAAGGAAACACCTATTTACTTTTCCTCCACACATTCCCATCACACCGTCCTTTGGCTCTAGTCAACCAGAGCAGCTTCTACCTATTCCACCCTTGAAACCCTCCTCATTAGCTGTGATAACTAAATGAAATCTCTAAGTCAGCGGTGGGAAACCCATGTGGCCTAAGAGGCTGTTTCAGCCGAGCAAAGCTCACCTGCTCAACACCTGGTGTCATATATGAACTCAGGTGTGGGGCAAGCAAAGGAAGGCTTGGGCAAAATGGGCTTTGCAGGCACTGTTGTTCAGCTGATCAGCAGGGTCTGCAAACCTCTTGTGTAGTACTTCCCATGCACCATCAATTATGAGCACTTGGGAAGAATTACAGACAAGGCTTCCCCTGCCCTGACAACCAGCTGATTGTCAATGTTTGGGTAGTGCACTGCATAGTGCTTCCCCAGCACTCACAATCACCTTTTTGTTGATAACTGAGAAGTGCCAAAAAACTTTTTTGCCCCTATGTTTTCATTTCAAACAGCATCGCAATGGGGTCAGAAAAGGTCCCCTAACTTCATTGTTACATCAGGTGTTTGACAGCTGGGTAGTCCTGCCCACCTGTCAAATGTGGCCTGCAGAGGTATGCATGGATGTAAGTTCCCCATCACTGCTGTAAATTCAGAAACAGTATCATTTCAGTTACCAGTCACTGGATATATACAACAGAAGACCCCTGTTTTCTCATGCTCTGCTTGGGAGCTGCTCAGAACATTTGGCTCATCACTGTCTGAAACAAGATTATCTAGATAAAAACAAGTTACTTGCCTAAGGAAGTTAAATGAGTACAAAGTAGAGATGAGATCTGAAACCAATGCCTAAATCATTTCCTTTTCAGTTAATTCTTACCAAGCATTTGTTTTCCTCTGGTTCACTCCCCGCTCCCACACCAAAGTATTCCCTCATATTCCTCCACAATTCCATTTCTGATCACAGAACGCGCCATTTTTCTAACTTGACATTCTATTCCAAAAACATGGCACTCTTGCACCTCTTCAATATCTATCTACCTATAAACCTGATCTTATCCATTATTGCTGTGCCTTCAACATAAAGGGCGGCCAGTTTTCCCAGGACAGGCATTAAGCTTGTAATTTCCAGGACCCTTTTTAAAAACTGGTGTCACACTGCCTTACTTTCCAATCCAAAGGTTCAGAGGCTGATCTGAGGGACACATTACATTATGTTATCAGAAGATCCTCAATTTCACATTTGATTTTTTGATAACTCTCAGATGCATGTCATCCGGACCTGATAATTTGTCAGCTTTAATATCATTAGGCTTAGATGACACAGGACATTAAGATGCAACATCCACATTACAGTTTTGAGACAGAGTTTCCCCATCCCTCAACATCTTCTCTATCTTTTGCAGTTTATCTGCTAGTGATTTCTTTAGAAAGTTCATGTACAATTTGTATTATTCAGCTATCAAGTCACCTATGTCAGGGGCTTCATCGGGCTTTAATGATTTCATTGCATTAACTACCCCATCTTCCATAATAAGTGCAATTCATAGTAACTGAGGAGGTACCCATTCAGTACTGTGAGGTTCAGCAGTTACTCCACTAATGGCATACGTTCGCTGGGACTTACTTCTATGTAAGTATGCACAGCAGGCATGGGGAATGTGTGGACTTGGAAATGTTGTTGGGATCTATTCCACACCAACCCCAAGCAGCATCACCAACAGTCCAAGTATAACAGGAGCTCAGTGGACAACATCTGGAGGGCCACAAATCCCCCTCCTGCATAGGATTGCACCCTATATTACCAAGAAAGCTATTTAAAACCAGGGGTGCCAACTTGAATAAAATATTGGGCAGGTAAGCCCCCACACTGCAGAACCGATCACATGACACAACACACACACACACACACACACACTATTTGAATGGAAATGTTCATGAACTTTGGAGGGGCCTGGGCCCCTCAACTATTTTATTGGGGGGGGGCAGTGGACCTCTGCCCATACAAGTTGGCTCCTAGGTTTAAAACAGCAACAACTGCCATCGTAACAATATTAATGCATGGTGAGGAATGAGTGAGAGAAACGTTTCTTTACCAGAAATATCGTGTGCATAACAATAAAGCGCAGCGTTTTTGAGCAACAGAAGAATCAGGGCAATCTAGGGGGGGGGCTGCAAATGCCCTGGGCGATTTCCTACGAAGACCGCTGCCAAAATTCGCAGCAAGGCGATGGGTGAGAAGGAGGCATCTTTCCCAGACCTCCGTTCACCAAAGTACGTACCCGCCTCGACAGGTCTCTCCTCTCCTGACATCGCTCGCCGCTTTCCCGCAGCTGCCACTCGCCCGCCGCCAAACATTTCCCCCTCGTCCGGCGCTGCAACCGAGTCCTTCTCCCCGTCCCGCTTCCCCAACCTCCCAGCCCAAGCCCTCCCCGCGCTCCCCGGTTCTCCCCCGAGCCCTTCTTCTGCGGGCCTTAGTCGCCGCCCCTTCCTTAGCCCCATCGAGCAGCGTCCTCCTCCAGAGCTGCCCCGAGGCGCCTCGGCGACCCACTTCCCCCGTTTCTGCCCCCCTTACCACCTCACGCGCAGCTCACTTTGGCACACGGAAACAAACACTCCCTGATACCCCCCCATAACCTCCCCGAGAGTTTCACGGGGATCTTCGCGCGCTTCCCTCCCTTCCCAGCCCCACATTTCGCGCCTCTCCCCCCCCCCCCGCAACAGACCTTCCTTTCAAGAGGCTGACCTACTACTCACCGTTCTTCAGCTCGTGTTTGACGGTGCAGAGAGACGGGTCCGCTTCTTCCGCGGAGCGCCCGGAGGCTCCTTCCATTTCCTCCGGGGGTCCCTCCATTTCCTCACAAAGCCCCCCCGCCGCCCCCCACTTTTCACCCTCTCCACGCCTGCCCCCCACCCCACGGAGTGCTGAGGGTGAGGCAGGGAGGCTCAGCCAGCGCCAGCGCCGCCCGAAAGGGGGACTTTATCCCTCAGCGAAGGTGCCCCATGTTCCGAGGGCTGCTGCTGTTGTTGTTGTTCTGAGGGGAAGAAAAAAACAACCAACGAGAGCTTTAGAAGACAATAACGAAACGAGGCGCCTACATTGACAAGCGCCCGTTTAACCATCGGCGCCTTTGGAAGCGCTTCAGAGCTCCTCTCACTCACCCACCGACCCCCATTCCTAGCTGGGGGGCGGGCGGGAGTAGAGAGACCGCCAAGAGGGTGGGGGGAGGGGCGGCAGGGTGAAGAAGCTCCGTTATCGACGAGATTCTATCGACTCCCCTCCCCTCCCCGCCGCCGCCACACTGAAGCAATCGGGGAAGGAGGTGGGAGGGGCGAGCCGAACGCCCATTGGCCCGCCAGGCTACACACGGCGCCCACGATTGGCCGGCGCCCGTTGCATGTTACCACCCTCCCTCCGCCAAAAAGCCGCGGCCCGCCATTGGTTCAGCGCTTGGGCCAATCGCTCGCGCCATTTCTCGCTCTCTCGCCTGTCCCCTCCCTCCGCTTCCTGTCTCTGAGGGGATTCTGCTGCTGTTCCTCCTCCTCCTACCCCCCCCCTTCGGCTCTCCGCCGCCCGGTTCACCTTCTCCCCGCTTTCGAGTAAATATTATGCTCCCGCCTCTCGAGCGGGCCGAGTCTCGAAGAGGCTAGATCGGTTGCCTAGACACGGAGGATGGCCGGTGAGTGGACCCTTGGCGGCGCTGTCACCAGCTGGGCTTGGAGGGTCTCGCGCGAGATGCTGCCTCCCTTCTCGCAGCCGTTATTAGCCTTCCAGCAAGAGCAAAAAATGCAAAAGCAAAACAAAACAAAAAGGAGGACACGGTGGCTCCGCGTTTAAGAGGCGCAGGGCGGGCAGAAGCAGCTTCCCGATCTCATTTCTAGTGACGGGAAAGTACAACCTATGTAGTCAAGCTGCAAGTGATTTCGGGGTGGGTGGGGAGCATAACTGTCAACGTTTCCCCTTTTTTAAGGGAAATTCCCTTATTCCGAATAGGATTCCTCGCAAGAAAAGGGAAAAGTTGACAGCTATGGTGGGGAGTCATTTCTGCAGCCAGCAGACGTAGCTAGGAATAGTCCTCGCTTTGAGGTGGCCAGAAATGGCAAACGACTTTCAAATGTCAAAGCACAGAGTATATTTCTGAGGCAATTAGGCCCGTGATTTATTTCCTTGTACAGTTGGGGTGTAAATGATACCCCCCCCCCCAGAGAGACACATACATTGATCATCAACCTTTTTTTTTTTTTTTTTTTTTGCTTCTTTAGTGCAAGGCAAGTGCTTTTTTCTTTTTCTTTTAGGGATACTGGTAACAAAGTACTGCAGCTCTTCTAGAGCAGTGTTTCCCAACCGGTGTTCCGCGGCACACTAGTGTGCCGTGAGACACCGGCTGGTGTGCCGTGGGAGGGAGGCGGGCGAGTCGGGCGCCTAGGAGAGAACAAAACCAAGTGAGCAGCGCGCGAGAGGGAAGCGACCCGAAAAAGAAGCGCGTTCGGAGTCCGGAGGCACTTTTGGGGCTGCGTACGAAGGGAGGGGGGGCACGGACGGCGGAAGGGGGCGGGGCGCGGTTGCAGAAACCCGCCAATGCTTCCACCTCATTGGGAAAGGGAAGGGGTTGGGCCACCTAAAACTCTCCGCCGGGGCCACATCCTGCCTCCCAGCCCCCTTTCCTCCACCCACGGAGGGAGGGATGTTTTTAACACACACCCCCCCGCTCACAACCCTTTGGTAGCGTTTCTCCAATCTGAGGCGAGCGCCCGCCGACGCCCCCTTCCCCTGCTCAGTCGCGCAAAAACCGAAGTCTCCTCCCTACCCCTTATTCCCTCAAACCCCGTTTCCATAAGGGGGGGGGAATAACCCCTTCCGTCGCGCGCAAAGCCCAGCTCCCTCCGCCCTTCGCGGTCTCCTCAGCACTTCAGCCAGCCGTTTACACTCTCGGAGCCACTGGGCAAAACTCGCTCTCAGAAGCGCGCGGAGAGAAAGAGAGAGGGAAACAAAGTTAACTTGTGGGGAGAGAGAAAGAGCGAGCGGGAGCTAACTTGTGTCCAAAGGCAGATACAAAGTAGCCCCCCCCGCCCCGAAGGCGACCTCTCTTGCTCTGCTCCTCTGGGGTGGGGAAACCAACTCCACCACGCGGAGCAGCCCCGAGGCGGGGAATTTCGCCCCTTCGTAATGTATGCATGTAAATGAGGCGGGCGCAAGGGGTGGGCGCGGAGAGGAACTCGCGCCTCTGAGGCCGCCGCCTCCTTCTCCTCCTCCTCCGCCCCCCCCCTCAAACCCAGGCGGCGGCGGCGGCAGGAGGCAGCAGCGGCAATAACAGAAGCAGCTGCGCTGACAACAACACGTGTTCGCTCGGGCACCATGGAATTCGAGGAGCTGGGGATTCGGGAGGAGTGCGGCGTGTTCGGGTGTATCGCCTCCGGCCTGTGGCCCACGGAGCTGGACGTGCCCCATGTGATCACGCTGGGGCTAGTGGGGCTGCAGCACAGGTAGGGGACACGGCGGTGGGGGGGAGACGGTCTGGGGAAGCGGGGGGAGGGTGGGTTGCTTGCGAGACAGCGGAGGAGGAGGAGGCCGGCATGTCCGGGCAGCAGCAGCAACAGCAGCAGCAGCAACTCCCGGCGACGGCTCCTCCTCCGCCCGCTATCGCCGCCGCCTCAGCTGCCGCCGTCCCTCAGTCCCTCGCTCTGCTGCCTCCTCCCACCCCGGCAAGGGGAAGGGAAAAAACTTTCACTTTTGTGCGTCCCTCCCGGCGTGACGCTGCGCGCTGACGTCACGGGGCGGGGCTTTAATGGTGGTGTGCCGCGAGATTTTTTTCCGGTAAACAGGTGTGCCGTTGCCCAAAAACGTTTGGGAAACACTGTTCTAGAGGTTAACTCTGAGGTTTTCAGAGCAATCCCTGGGAGTAGGAGAACACTTCAATCTCCCAGGACATTCTATACAAGATCTCAAAGTAGCTGTTTTACTACAAAGGAATTTCAGAAATAGACTGGAAAGAGAAGCTGCTGAATTGCAACTTATTACCAAACTTAAAACCATGGAGAGACCTGGTCTGAACAAAGACATTGGATTCTTATCTCATTATACATGACAAAGCCATTTTTCACCTTCTCACCCCTTGCTTTTTCCTGTAAGACCTATTGCAGTCGTTAAGAGTCGTCAACAGGCTCATCACAGCTATCTGCCAATCACCCATTCCCACCACCCTTCTGAGTAATACCCCTCCCCACCTTCTCACTATATAGAAGGATCTGGCAACTTCTGTTTCAGTGTATCTGAAGAAGTGTGCATGCACACGAAAGCTCATACCAAGAACTAACTTAGTTGGTCTTTAAGGTGCTACTGGAAGGAATTTTTTTTGTTTTGAGGTTAAGACGGTCAGCCAGGAGAGCCATGTTCTGTCCCTACTGTCAGAAGAAGTATGCCTCTGAATGCTACCTGCTGGGAACTGCAGGTGGGCAAAGTGCAGCTGCCCTCACACCCTGCTTGCAGGTGTACCACAGGAACCTGATGGCCATTGTGAGAGCAGGCTGCTGGACTAGATAAGTCATTGGCCTGATCCAGCCAAGCACTTCCTATGCTCTTTCGTTCTTATGCCCAGAAGGGGTGTAGGAAAACACACAAGTAGAAAATACAACATATATGCATATATGGCAGACCTGCCCACAGACACTGGAAACTCTGCACTCCCTGATTCATTAATGGAGGAATAGCCATGGACTGAACAGGTATAGCATATGGCTCTCCATAATATTGGTCCCATCCCACCCACAACTCCACTGGATTTTTGTGTATCTGACATATTCTACCACTGTGTCTGTCTTGGCAGCAGTGCATCTGGCGTTCATGCAGCAAAGCAAGGCTTCCATCAAATGCTACTGTAGCCTCTCAGACAGCATGTATTTAGCATAGGATTGTGCATTTGGGCTGCAATACTGTACTCACATGGGGGTAAGGCCCATTTATCTAAATGGGACTTATTTCTGACTAGGTGTGCATTAGGAAGAAAGCCCCATTCAACATGCATAAGATGAAGGTGCACATCTATGCTTGGGCTTAGGTTTAACAATGAGAAGATTGTATGCATATGCACACACAAAACTTAGGAACACCTGCTTTTCAAAGGAATTTAGCTATTACTTTCCTAGCACTGGAAAATACCGAGGACTGCTGGAGAGTTACAGAATTATGGAGTACTAAGAAAGTCCTTCAAATACATTGCAGTGAAGTGTTTCTTGGCTTGTTTGTACACCCTGTTAATTTGATCTAGACTTGCATTCATTTACACGATTAAAGCAAATCCAAGGCGGGGTGTGTGTGTACGGAATTACCATAATAGCTAGCAAACACATTGGTGTTGAGATGTGGATGATTCCTGATGGCAATCCCAAATCAGCATCTTCTGTACTTCTCCATGTAAAGAACTGATCTGTCTTGCATGTACACAGGCTCTAGAATTTAATAGCTGAAATACTAAAACTATTTGTATTTACTGAATTACGTAATGCTGAAGTATACCTTCATTGCTTTCATACGATATTGATGAATTATTCTATACAGCATAATGAATATATGTGTGTGTGTGTGTGATATAAATATATATATGTAAAAAGTGATGTACAGATGTAGAGGGAGATAGATATTGCATTGATAGTTGAGGAATATTTTCTCAATATCCACATTCAGTGGCTTGCTGCTTACTAACTTACTTAAGAACCTTTTGCTGACTGTGTGTGTAATTTAGGACACTAATGAGCACATGTCCCAAAATCTTCACAGAAACCAGCTAGTGAGGGAGCCTGCTCCACAAACTGGAGAGAACCCTGGCTGAGGAAGCAGCAAAGCGAGTTAGGCAAACGTGTGAGTTCGGCAGCATGGCAAGGAGGCCAGGGCACTCCACTCTGCCCAACAAAATTATCATGAAATAAGCTTATTTTCTTTAAAATTATCCTAAAATCATATATTCACTACTATCTGTTAAACCTTATCAGATAAGCCTTATCTCATCCTGAAGTCCCAAAAACATTTTATAAGGAATCTTTCAGATACACTTAGGTATTTCTGCTTAGATCTGTGCTATGATGGGAAAGCCAGATCTTCTCCAGCAACTGCAGGGGCATAGTCACAAGCTTGGGTGGCAAATGCTTTCCTGTACTCTGCAAGGTAGGTGGTGCTGAGTCACTCCACCCCACTTGCTCCTAACCATAAGTCAAAATCCCCTTTTCTTGTTGTTATCACAATTACTCAAAGATCAAACAAATCCCACTTTGAATGGTCCTTGGAATAATGTGTGTCTTACCAGTTTTACAGCAAAGGAAGGATACTCTGACTGGGACCCAGGTGTTCAGTCCCATGCTGTATTGCCTCCATGCAGCTGAGCCCAGGATTGGGCTTTTATTAAAGTTTTGGGGGTGAGAAGTTAAACAAGAAGTGCATAACGATAGCATTCACCCTTAACTGTAACAAGTTGGAATTGAGGTGGAAATAGAAATAGAGGGCTTGGAGAGGAAGCCCGGGGCTATTTGTAGCCTTCAAACTCTTCAAAAGCTGTTACATAAGCGAAGTAAGCTATCTGAACTATTGATCACATTAGCAATGCAATGGTCCATTCCACAGAACTCATGAGTAATAAAATCTTGGTAATAAAAATTCCATGAGTTCAGTAATAATAAGCTCTATGGTGGG